CCCTGACTTCTTTCTACTACTTGGAACCTGGACGTGATGGCTGAAGTTCCACCTAGGGTGGTGAAGTTGAGGGCTTCACCTGAGGTATATGGATAGATCTAAAAGGTGGAACTGCCTAGGTCTCAGAAGACTGTAAAACCATCGTGCCAGCCATGGATTGTTCCTCTGTAAACTATTTTTTTTCTTTTTTAGTGTGAAAGAGAAACACAGGTCACTTTGTTTAAGCCATTGTTCTCTGCAGTCTCTGTAATTGGTAGCTAATCTTAACTAATCCAGCCACTTATCCAAACTCAGACCTGCAAAGTCCGTGCTCTTAGGCAGAAACTTGAAGAACTCCTCCTTACAATTTGCAATAGACTGGGGGTGGGGGTGGTATGAAAATGCTGCAGGGGAGTTTGACCCAAGAAGGGAAGTTTGAATATGCTCTCAAATTGGCACACTCGAGAAACGGTCAGAAGGAATATGCTACTTGACAGTGAAGAATTTAGCCTCCCTCAGAGATGGGCAGGGGAAGAGCTCAGGTACCTGCACGGAGCTGCAACCAGAAGGGAAACAGAAGCTGTGCAACTGGTAGCTTCTGGGAAAGATGCTGCTGGCTGAGGAGTAGGCATGGTAGAATGGAGCTCTGGAAATGGCCACAGGATAAGAGAGGCAAGGAGAGTTGTAAGAAACTCTGAGGTTGAAGAAGTAGGAGATGAAGTTCAAAGTCTGGAAAAGCACAAGCAGAATGGCCCATATCAAAGGCAGTGTAAAAGTCAAAAGGCAAAAGGAAAGATCAAGGTTGAAACTCTGACAACTTGTTCATTTCCTTTACACAATTCACAACACTGACGTGAATTTAAATTATGTTGGAGTTGAGTAGAATCCTGAATGAAAGGCAGGTGTAGAACAGGGGGTTTATTATTACCCTTTGTTAAATTTCTAAATCAACAGCAGTATGAAGATCTTAGAAGAGAGATTCAGTGACTGCAGTTAGGCCTACTTTTATTTAAAATCTTATTAACCCAGAAAAGAAAAAGAGAGAGAGAAAAGAAAAAAGGAAAAAAAAAAAGCTATGTCTGCCAAAGACAGTATTTTAATTACTAGAAAAAAAGGTCATAAAGGTATGTAGGAAATTTAGAAGATATAGATGGGAAAGAAAATGGAAATAGTCAATGGCAATGAAAGAAAAAAGCAGCAATATGAAAACAGACAGGGCACAAATTAGAAGGCATTTTATAATTGGTTAAATAAATTCTGTGCTATAATTGGGCCTCTCAAATTCGTTCTGGTTGGACACAGGTCTAAACTGCTGCAGGATCCTGTGCTCTGGAGGCAGGACAACAGGGAGAGATATGGAAAGCAACGCAAATCATTCCACCAAGTCAGGAGTAACACCTCAGATTCAGCACACATTAGTTACTGAAATATATCAGTGTAGGCTAGAAGCATGTTGAAAAGGAGAACAAAAATAAAATCCAGGCCCTAGCTGGTTTGGCTCAGTGGATAGAGCATCGGCCTATGGACTGAAGGGTCTCAAGTTCGGTTTCGGTCAAGGGGTTGCGGCCTGGATCCCCAGTAGGGAGTGCAGGAGGCAGCTGCTCAATGATTCTCTCTTATCATTGATGTTTCTTTCTCTCTCTCCCTCTCCCTTCCTCTCTGAAATCAATAAAAATGTACTAAAGAAAAAAAATAAAATAAAAGTCAGGCCCTGGCTGGGTGGCTCAGTTGGTTGGAGCATGGTCGCATAAACCAAAAGATTGTTGGTTCAATTTCCAGCCAGGAACATTTGGAGTTTGAGGGTTTGATCCTTGGTCAGGGCACATTTGGGAGGCAGCTAATCCATGTTTCTCTCATCTCTCTCCCTCATGCCTTCCCTCCTACCTTCCCTCCCTCTCATGCTAAGGAAACAAAAAAATCAATAATGAACATAATGTCAGATGAGATATAAAAAAAAATCATACAGGCAATGGTTAGGGATCCTCCCATCTTCCCTCAGAGGGCTTTCAGAGGAAACACACTTTTAAATGGCATAATAATAAATAAAATTCAGAAATTCAATCTTCGAGAGACAATAAATGGAAATCTGGGATTAGATCGAATAGATATTTTTATATGGACAGCAAAATCAAAAAGAAACATAAAAATACTCATATGCCATCAAAAAGGGATTGAAAATTAAAAAAATAAAAACTTGTTTACAAATAAAAACTTTGGTTAAAGCAAGAATCTTCTAAATATTATAATATTTGCTCCTCTCAATCTCAGAAAACGAAACCAAAAAATTACAAATTTCAGACCAATGCAGGAAAATACCCACACAGTATAAAAAAAATCTTGGCGGGAAAATGGAATATTATTCAGTACTCAAAAGAAATGAGTTATCAAACCACAAAAAGGCATAGAGGAAACTTAAATGCATATTACTGAGTAGAAGAAGGCAACAGACTCTAATGATTTCAGCTATATGACATTCTGGAAAAGGCAGCACTGTGGCTATGGTAAAAATATCAGTGATTGCTAGAGGTTGGAGAGAGTAAGGGATGATTAGTGGAAAATGGGATTTTTTCCCCCCAGAGAAGTGATACTATCATACCCTGATGATACTACAATGGTAAATACATGTTATTACACATTTATCCAAACTCATTAAGTGTATAACGTCAAAAGCGAACCCTAATGTGCAGCATGGACTCTGGGTAATGAAAATGTTGTCAGTATAGGTTCATCCACTGTAACAAATGAACCACTCCAGTGGGGCATGTTGATATTGGGAATTGGAGGACTATAAATGAGTAGCGGCAGGGAGTATATGTGAGATCTCTGCACTTTACTCTCTTTTTTTATTTTTTAAAATATATTTTATTGATTTTTTACAGAGAGGAAGAGAGAGGGATAGAGAGTTAGAAACATCGACGAGAGAGAAACATCGATCAGCTGCCTCTTGCACACCCCCCACTGGGGATGTGCCCGCAACCAAGGTACATGCCCTTGACTGGAATCGAACCTGGGACCTTTCAGTCCGAAGGTTGACGCTCTATCCACTGAGCCAAACCAGTTTCGGCTGCACTTTACTTTCAATTTTGCTGTGAATCTAAAACTACCCTAAAGAATAAAGTCTATTAAATAACAACCTTGGACAACCTGGTACCTTTTCATTTTAATGAATGTTGCTTTCATTATAAGGATTCTGAATAATACTGCCAACAATAAAATCAAATTAAAGAATATAAATGAGAAAATATCAAAGGGGATTGTCTTCAAAAAGCAGTTTTAACTAGTCAAATGAAATCACTCCAGATGTGAAAATATGCCTGTTGGGCTGGACATGATAGAATACCTTTCCAATATAAGAAACACAGTAAGTTTCAAAGAACAGCAAATTTAATTCTAACATTTCAATTTTTTTAAAATATATTTTTATTGATTTTTTTTACAGAGAGGAAGGGAGAGAGATAGAGAGCTAGAAACGTCGATGAGAGAGAAACATCGACCAGTTGCTTCTTGCACACCCCCTACCGGGGATGTGCCCACAACCAATGTACATGCCCTTGACCGGAATTGAACCCGACCTTTCAGTCCGCAGGCGATGCTCTACCACTGAGCTAAACCGGTTTCGGCTCTTTTTTTTTTTTTTTTCTATAAGAAAAACATTTTGTGGGGATAGTAGGTATAAGATAAGTGCACGATTCAACTGTGGACTCAGTGATACCTTGGCCCACTTTATTGCCTGAACTAAGAGAACAGCAGACTGTTAGGGCTTTCATTCTCCCATCTCACCGGCCCAATTACATCAGAGATTAGCTGTCATTTGCCTTCAAGAGTGAAGTTTCGGATTAGGAATGCCAGGGGCAAAAGAAAGTCACCTTGCCCCCCTCAACTCAAAGAGCATTGGGGGTTCTCAGGGAGAAGTAACCTGAACACACCCAGGGCACAGGAACTGTTAGATAATTATCCTGCCGTTTGGATTCTTCTGTGCGCTTCAACCCTACACTTGCGTATGGGAGAGGGACAGTCTGATAAAGACACATGCCATTTAACTTCTTAGAAAGAGGTGAGCAAAGTTCCCATTTTAAGTTGGCTGCGCGTTCGCACACTTAGAAGTTCCATAGCGGTATCTTCTTACAAAGTTTTTTTTTTTTTTTTTTTTTTAGTGTTTTTTAAAAAAGATTTTAGGCAAGGCAAATGTACTGAAGGAAGTCCACGTATAAGTTGCTTTTACATTTAATTTTGCTCTTGGGGTGGGGGGGGGGGAGAGGGGGAAATGGGAAGGGGTGCTCACAGGGTGTCTTTCTGACCCCAAAGAAAGGTCTTCCACAGAAGTCGTTTAAGGGCAACCTATGGACTTTGGGAAGTCGGCTGAGTACACAGAGTCATGAAGAAACCCCGTGCCTCCTCCCTTCTGATCTCTGGCACCTGCTCAACTGCCCCTCCCTCCCCCCCAGCCCCTCCATCCCATCCACACCCCCGGGAGGAGGAAACTCTTAGCTTCTCTCTTAGGTTGCCCCCTTCTCCAGCCAACAATCGAATGCCACCACCACCATCAAACTGCAGGGAAACAATGAGTAGCCATCCAGTGAGCACCAAATGTCTGTCAACAGCGCCAGGGCAGGGGGCAGAGGAGAGCGACCCACCGCGTCCTCCCCGGGGAGATGTCTCAGCTCCGCGAGGCCAGACCCCCGCCTGCAGCGCCAGCACCTCCTTCCCGCTCCGCCCCGGGGCTCCCGTTCAGGTGCAGCGGCAGGACGCCCGGGCGGGGAGCGGACCGCCGCGCTGCGGACGGGGACCGGGACGGGGACGGGGGACCGGGGACCGGGACGGGGGAGCAGCGAGGCCGGGACTCTCCTCTCCTGCGCCGCCCGCCGCCCGCACGCCCAGCCCGCAGGTGAGGCTGGACAGGTGACCGCACCTGCGCGGCCACCCCACCTGCTGCGCCCCCCGCACCCCGTCCCCCGCCTCCGCCACCCGGGTCCGAGCGGCACCTCTTCCCAGAGCAGGGGCGCCCGCCCCGACCTCCTTACCTGCGCGAATCCAGCCGCCCGCGCCCGCGCCCCGCGGCGAACCCTGCGCCTCCCGGGCGCGCAGGCGGCGCCGGCCCGCTCTCCGGGCTGCGGGGCCCGGGCTCAGCGGGAAGCCCCAGCGCCGGCCGGCCCGCCGCCTCCCGCCGGCTCCATTGTGACGCGGCGCCCGCCGCCGGCCAATCGCGGCGCCGCGGCGCGAACCGCTGACTAAGTTCGCGGCGGAGGAGGAGGGACTGGGCGGGGCGGGGCGGGGGCGCGGCGCGGCGCGGCGCCGCGGGCGGCGGGTCAGCGTCCGAGGAGGAGCCGGAGGAGCTGGAGGAGGAGGAGGAGGAGGAGGAAGGAGAGGGGAGAGAGCTAGCGGCTGCTCCGGTGGCTGCTCCTGCCGTTTAGTGTACGGTCGCCTCGGCCCCGGGCTGCGGGCGCCGGTGGAGACAAAGCGCAGCTGCCGCCGCCGGGGAGCGCGCCATGTGGCCTCCCGCCGGCTGGCTCTCTGGTTGGCACCGGCCACACATCGCCTGGTGGGAGAGAGGGGGTACCTACAAAGAGCTGTTTTCTAAAGCCGGGAGGGAGAGGCACCCCGTGTGGGGGACTTGGGAAGTACCGTCTGTAGGTGTGGGCCCCGCCTTCTCCCGGGTGCACCCCGAGTCACTTGGGATTTACGTAACGCGCTGTGGGCCCCAAGGGCAGGCTCGGGTGGAGCGCGCGGGAACCTACCTCTGACACCCACGAGGCAAGTTCCTTTGCCTTTGCCTTGGCCCTGCGTGCTTGGCGAGGCTGCAGGGCTGAGCGTGTGCGGGAGAGTTTACAGCTGTAGCAAAAGGAACGGCTTAAGTTGGGATTCTGGGCCTCCAGGACCATCCGCCTCTCAAATGCTCATCTTGGGCATGGAGAGGGAACAACGTGGTTAGAGGGGCCACCCTAGACTCCTCACCGGCGTTGAATGGCTAACAGACTGCAGGACCGCCCCATCTACTGTCCCGCCCCCTTCCCCCTGCAGTTGTGGCCCTGCATTTATATAACAGCAAAACCAGGAGTTTGGGAGACTTAATATTTTATCCACATTCAACCCCCACTCTCATCGCCACCCCCAGTTTAAGTCAGAGTTTTTGCAGAGACTTGTTTCAACAGTGATTGAGTTCAGACTACATTTGTATCTCTGAGTTGCTATGGCGACCACATCCCCATTTATTTAAAAAAATAAATAAATGTTTGTACAGGGACCTCCTGAGAGTAAATGAAGAATGATATAAAAACGCTCAGCATTTTGGGACCTCTCTGATCAGTTTGTGTAAATGGGAGTGCGGAGAGTGGCACAGCTGAGCTTTGTGAGACTGAGTTGTGTCCCAGGAAGAATGTTCAGATTAGGACCACAATTTGAATTACCCTGAAAGGGAAGAAGGCTGTCTGCTTGACCTTGCTCCATTCTTTTCTCGCCTCTGCCATTCTGGGTTGGCAGCTGTCTTTTTACTGAAACTTAGAGGAAGGGCTGAAAGAACCTTCTTTGATTTGGTCATTCACAGAGTTTTTATCATGTTTATGTGTGAGAAGCACTGTATATGAACAGATCTATTAAGCTAATTTAGAATTGGTTTTGGTCCTCAAACAGCTTATCACTCGGAGAGGAAGATTTAAAAAAACACACACACAGAATCAAATAGGAAACAAGGAAAAAAGTGAATGCCTAGTTTTCTATATCTATTATGTGTCCATCAATATACTAGACATCAGGCATGATACCAAAGAAGCATCAAAGTTGGTCCCAGTCCCTGAGCTCAGTCACTCACAACTTAGACAAGCACACAGAAAACAATCAAGTATAACTTAATGCTCAGATGAAGAGATTGAACAATGCAGGTGGTTGTAGAAAAAAGCCTCATAAAAAAGGGGAAGTTCAACAAATAATGAAAAAGAAGACTAAGGAAATTAAATTCTATAGTTTTGCTTTATCTAACCCAAATATTGTCTTAAAATGATCAACCCATCCTCAGGGTTCAATCTCTTTCTTGTGAGCTGAGAAGCTCTAGAAGAATCAGAAGTAAAAATATTCTACTTTCTACGTATCCCATTAAGTAGAAAAAGAGCTACTTGTAGGGCCTTCACATTCATGTGACAAAGGGATAACTGAAGAGCAAATGTGGCCAGTTTCTCTACCCAAGAAACAAGCCAAGTCACAAATAATAGAAATGAAAGGATCACTGCAATTCCATGACTCTCATGAAGTAATCAACTAACACTGGGGTTTGGCAGATCCCTTCTGTGTTGATTCCCTGGGGAAAAAGCAAAAAGCCCTCTGAGTGACATGAGCATTAATCTATGCTTCATGTGGTTGCCTTACTAAGAGTTTAGTTTTCTCTGAGTCTTAAGAAAATTTTTATGATTAATGGAGGACAATATGATTTAATATTAACAAATTCTTTCCCAATTCATTATCCTAAAATTATGATAATGAAAAATCCTCTCTTTTAATTAATTCAACATTTCATGTCTACAGTGTATAACAAAAAGCCCTGGGATCTGACAGTTCAAAGGGCATATGTCAAAATAAGTAATTTTGTTACTTAAAAATATAGTATGCTCTAGTGGGGAAAGTATATCCAGCAAACATACATCATCTTAAAGGGGAGAGGAAGATGAGGTTGGTGGGTCGTGTAGTGTTGAAAAAGAATCATACTGAACATGGGTCTGAGGAAGTTTGGCTAGCTTTAAGGTTCTAAATTAAAATATGTCTCAGAGTCATGCATAATTAACCCTAGATGTCATTTCAGAAGAAAACTAGAGTCTTGATGCACAAAATTCATGCACAAGTAGGCCTTCCTTCTCCCAGCTGCCAGCACCGGCTTCCCTCTAGCACTTGGGTTTCCCTTGAAGAAAGAGGCCCCACCCAACCACTGCAGCCCACTGGTCCGCTATGGGGCAATCATGGGGTGATGCCTGGGCCCCCAACCAATCGCATCACACCAGCCTTGGCTGGCCTGGCACCAGTGGGTATCATAGTGTGGTCCCAGATGGTCATCCGGATGGTCATTCCGCTGTTTGGCCATTCAGTTGATTTGCATATCATGCTTTTATTGTATAGGATAACAAATTTTAGAAACCAGTCACAATTTTGCATTCTCAGAAAGTTTGTCAGAATCCCCCTGGCTCAGCTGTGTATGATTGAGCATATTGTCACTGATAAAGAATTCTATTTATTTTTGACCACTTGACCATGTTTTTCTAACCTTTTCAATCTCTTAATTACAGATGTTTAACATAGGCCTGGGGAAAATTCTGAGAATGATCCCTGAGCGTGAGCTCAGTGGTGAGAATTCTGAGAACAGGATGATTGGGACATTTCACATGTGTTTGGAATAATGTATTTGACCTAGAAATCCAAACTGTAATCGTGCAAGGCCGCCTGTGCCTTTATGTGTGAGTTGATCCCTTCTCATGGGTCCAGTCTGAAATATTCATGACTGGTTACTCTATATCCTCATCTCCCACTCTGCTTTAACTGTCCACTGCTCCTTTCTCATGGGACAGGTGCTAAAGAGATGACCTTCAGCTTCTTTTCTGAAGGAAAAACACCAATTCCTGGGGCAGGGTGCTTGACATCCCCAGTTGATTTGTCTTCTGGGAAGTTGTCCAAATATTTCTTTGAAAGTTTCCCATGAATCTCATTAGAAGAATATATATTGCCATCAGGGTCACATATTGGAATCCACCACACAGCAGCCAGCCATTATTGACTCATGTCCATAAAAAGGCAGTGACTTCTAAGAAAATATCTGTGAGTGAAGCCAGGCTGAAAGCCTAGAATAAAGCAGAGCTGGTATTCCTCAGCTTCTGCAAAGTGGTCTGATGAGTTCTGCTAGTGACTGAGAAATGCTTGCTGGGGTCCCTATGAGGATTCAATCTGTGTTCCCCAAACCATGTTGAAATCTGGGTAAGAGGTTTTGCAGAGCTGTAAAAGCAGCTGGTTTCTGAGGCTTCTCATAGTTAACCCTTCCATTTCTTTGGCTTTGAATAACCCAGATCCAGCAGCAGCCAGATCTTGATTTCCCTCTCAAAACGTGTGTGTGTGTGTGTGTGTGTGTGTGTGTGTGTTTCTTGGCCTATTATAAGGCCATCTGTTCATTATAATTACACACTGAATACTGGACTTCAGTTCTTATCTAACCTGATTTGCTAAGAGCAGGAGCTAATACATCAGTGGTTTATTTTGGATTTTTAAAAATCAAAATGCTTTAAAAGAATAAGACCTAGAATATGTTAGGGCTGGAGAAGAAGGAGATATGTTCCAGAAAGAGCATTGGACTTGCAGTCTTGAGTTCTACTGATGGCTCCTTTGACCATGAGACTCAGGGCAAGCCACTAACAATATAAGCAGGAGTTTCTATTTTTCAGTGTTTTTATTATATCGATCCTGGACTAGATAAGGAAAGAAGATGGGTATAGTTCATGTTTCAGAAGTCTCAGACTTCATTTTATTTCATTCATTCACTTATCATCGGAAAATATTTATCCTGTGTATACCATGTGCAAAACACTAGTTTTTGGGAATACACTGGCCCCTGTGATGGATGTGGCATTTGCCCTTCTGAGGCCCACAGTTGGTCAGCATGCCTCCAGAAGATGTTAGGCTGGATGTGATAAATCACTGAGGACTAACTAACCAAATTTCAGTGTGTAGCACAACACCGTCCTCTTTGGCTTTGTCTCCTGAACCCTGCAAACTCAAATGCAGACACTCCTTCCAATTACCTTCTTAATCTTCTGCTAACTTATTAATATCTCTGCAAACTTCCTTACATTCCAACTCACTAGCCACCAAATTGTGGTTTAGGGAGATTTAAAACTTGCCGTCAAGAAGCTTAAAGTTTTTGAAACTCAAAACAATAGAGGCAAATATGTAGCCAGATATGTGAGTGAATATTGAGCCCAGTAGAATCTTCAAACACATGATATTTACATGGCTCAGAACCCATGACTGGAATTTGCTTTATGATAGCTGAATATAACCTGATTATTTTATGAAAAGGAGCAGTAAAATAATGAATCTGATGTTCCTTATCTCATTACAAAATTGAGGGCAAAGGTAGTCGGGTCTTTTATTGATAGAGGAGAGAGTGGGTTCAAGTGGCTAAGATTCCTCAGAGAAATTGAGACCTGATGAGTGAATTAAAGAATTTAGGGCC